AAAGATAGTGTGTGGTGCATGAAAATATGAACTCTACTGACCGATGGCATCCGAGTCCTCCTTTGATGGAACAGACCTTGATCGATTGGGAACGTATATATGTATATGTATCAATTGGAAACGAAACTTATCGTTAATGGTTAAGCGAATAGCGAACCTGAAAGCGGATCTTATTGGAAAAACAAAACAAAAAAAATCTTTGACGTAAGAACGAAGACAAGGGGGGAAAGGAGCACTGTGTAGTGTTTTCGTGTACGTGAATGAAAGAGACAGAGAGAGAGAGAGAGAAAGAAGAGAAGAAGGATTTTCGTCCCTAGTTTCTCTGTAAGGATAAATCCCTATATGCAAAGCAGACCTTGAGACTCTGTTTCTTATAAATTACCAAAAACCTCCTGCGCTGCGACCACCGGGTGGATTGTTCACGCGGATGCAAGCTCTTCTTGCTTCCTCGACGTCCTCTGCGAACGTACAATTCTTTCAATTGTCTATTTTCTATCCATCTGAACGACTTTTAAGAAGAATTCTTTTCTCCCTGTTGCTTACCGCTGATGGAGAAAGTAGAGTCCTGTAGATTCCTCTGTCCCTCCATTCGCGGACCCTTGGACGAAGGCGTGATCACCGCTGAGTCTGGCAATGTCGGCATGCAATCGGGCATCGAAATCTTCGGTTTCGGGCTGTCGTAGGTGCCATTCGTCTGACGACTCTTCGCGAGAGCTGCTGCCGCCGCTCTCGCTTCCTCTTTGGCTCTCGCAATGGCAGCGTCCTCCTCGGCGTGTTTCTTCGCCTCAGCTTCCGTTCGTGCTACTCCGCGTGGTCTCTGCGCGGGAGGACGGTAATTCAAATCGATTTGATTTTAGATTGTTAGAAACAAGTGTTCGCCTTCGAACGTTGCTCTCTAACGTGCCACCGGCTTTCACGCGAATTAAATTAATTTAACTATAAAAAGAAGAACGCACCTTTTCTCTGTCTTCTATCAGACAGTAGACGTAATCAATGTTGTGGCTCGGTGTCTCGACAAACTTTCCGAATCCGTGAACAGCCTTCAGTTCGCACTCGTCCACGCAGACACGGCCTTCGACTATAACGTACTCCGGCACTCCGTGGACCTCCATACCCTGAAGCAACATCGAAGAATAAATTCAATTCTACGAGGAAAGGAAGAAGGGAAAACGATTTATTGAACGATAAAGGACTGATTGAATTTCCTGCGTCGCGTGCAACAAAGACTTTGTTAAAGCCTTAATATCGGCCATCCCTTTACCTCGAAGATGTTGAAGTCAACGGCCTGGACGTGCGTCTGAGCGGAAATCGTACGCTTCCTGTTAGGGTCCCAGACGACTATGTCGGCGTCTGAGCCGACCGCTATCACTCCCTTTCGCGGATACAAGTTGAAGATCTTCGCGGCGTTGGTACTGGTCACTGCGACGAACCTCGTCGGATCCATTATACCTGCGTGGACGCCCTTCTCCCAAACCACCGACATCCGATCTTCAACGCCATTCACGCCGTTTGGTATCTTCGAAAAGTCATCCTTGCCCAGGGCCTTCTGTTCAGCGTTGAACGTGCAGTTGTCGCTGCCGGTAACTTGGAGGCCATCTCTGACGAAACGAACAAGTGAGTGAATAGCTTTGTCAGATCGGAAGAGCCCGATTATCTCACAAAGTTAAAAGAGAGAGAGAGAGAGAGAAAATAGAGAACGTGTTGGAAGAAATTCTGTAAAACCGCAGGTTACCTTGACATCTGACAAGCTAGAATAATTTTTCTGTAACGTGTGAGGTGCCGAGATACGATCGAGATTTTATTATTTAACAAATGGGTAGAATTGAATGCTGACCGTAGAATGATCTTTAAACGAGTTTTTCCCCTGCCCATTTAATTAAGTTTAATATACCAGCAGCGAGATGAAACAGTCTTCCCACGCGGTGTCTATTAAAATTACGTTCAGTTAGGCTCATATCGTGCGTGCCAATTTGTTGCTATAATTTATCGCATTTGTCATTTGAATGCTCGTGCAATTTCCAGACGTACACCACGGATAACGTAACGCAAGCGTGAAAATTGTTTTATCTCGCGTACAGTCGTCCATCGACAGCCTGCCTTATGTTAAGTTTCCACACAGGAATGAGCTGTTGAAATCAGCCGGAATTGGGAAGTACTCGAGAAGCACTCGAAACGAGATAAACCGTGGACACAATTGGATAGAACTCCGCTTTGCTACACCTTCTACTTCGTTAATTGCCTCTTACGGTTAGATACAGAACCACTACGATAGTACAACCACTTGAAAGCTCGAAAACGAACGACGACGAAGAGGAACAACCGATCTGTTCGAGTATACGATCGTGTTAACATCGAGGGAACGACAGATCTCCGAATTGAAATATTTCCGAGGTTTCCCATCGATTCCTCCACGAGTTCGTCGTCGCAATCGTTTAACGTTGGAAAATTGAACTGTTTCGATTACTTACTGTGCCAGATGCTCGATTAGGTACGTAGGTGTGGTTGGATCGGGTCTCAATGGTGGACTAGTGACATAACGTCTCCCTTTCTCGATATCTTTCCCGTACTGTTCGCTACCATCGATACCCACGGTACTTGCGAGAGTCTCCCCGAACAGGACGACACCCTCCGACCTTCTCGAGGACACAACGTCAGCGGCGGACTTGCTCGATAATGCCGTTACGTACAGCGGACAATTCACCTAAACCGCGACATCATCTTGCCTCGTTTATTCGTGACATTAATTATTAGCCAAAGGCGTGATCACAGCCGAGCAAAACGATCTCGCACAACTCGTGTACATGTATAAAATGTGTGAATCGTCTTCGATTCGTTATCGAAGGGAACATTTCTTTCAGCCGTGTTCACGATACCGTGTCTAACTACAATATCGAGTCGACGTGGACAAGTTGAGAGGGAATCGTGCCAGGTGTACAACAACGTGATTCCAGAGCATTGCAAAGAAACAAGGGCGAAAACAGGAGAAGTAAAAATCGAACTACAGTTACGATCAACGTGCATGCACAAGAATTTCGACGGAATACGATCCAAGTGTAATTTGCCGCATGCAACACCGAGGAGCTATAATAGTATTTCAACGCTCGGTTGCCACGATCCTAGGATGCCGAGGGTTTACGCTGTCGCAACATTTTGGAGCGCGATGAAAAGTAACCGGGACTTGGGTGGTTTCGCTGGTTTCGTGTATCAAGTTCGTAGATTTGCACAGACTTCGCGAGGTTTCGCGAGACAGATCGCTCGGACTTATTCGATTAAGTTCCAAGCGAGGCTTGTGCGTCTTAATCGAGGTCACGAAACCACCCTGGAAATTGGTAGTAGGTTTGTAGGACTTCAGGAGACTCGGAGACGTTTGACTACAATTGTAATTTCCGTTAATATGCAATTTCATAGGAGGAACTCGTGCCTCGTAATTCCTTGTTTTTCCTTAACCACGTTTCTTTAGAAATAGTGCGGTTGAATTGCACCGTTAATATCACCATTGTGAATTGCCATTTCCTTTTTTTT